TTTGGCTCAGATTTTTTAGAATTGTCAAGCCAGGACCAACAGGAATTCAGTTTGAATTTCATATGTAAAAGTGGATAAACCACTGCAGAAAAGAGTTGACTACATTAACTTTAATTAGCTTTCTTTTAGTTTTAACTTCTGAATATACCCAATGAATGGTACCCTTCACAACTGTAGATAAAACAATTTGCTACTTTACTCTCAGTCACTATGGCACTATTCTAATGGGGTGGGCTGAGAAGTATTGATAGATACGTAGTACTGTATTCTACCATGGCTAAGAAATGAGAGAATATTTGTTGTCTATGATATAATTATATATAGAGATATATATATTTACATAACACATAATATATATTTTATGAAAAGTTTTGACAAAATATTATGTCAAGCCTCAGCAATTACTGTTGCTTGGTCAGTGTTGGTTGTTGTATGAAATTATATCTTTTAAATGTTAATTCTTTTATGGAATGATGTTTTTGCTTGTTGTACAAAGGCCTTTGCAGAAGTTTATTGTGTTCGTGATGGACAGAAAAAAATAAATTGGACTTTTTTGAAAAAATGACTTAATAGATTGTGGAATGTCAAACTGTGCAGGGCTCCAGAAATATTATTTAAATAAGCCAGCCTCTTAACAAATTCTGCTCGCCGTATTTAGACCAAGACCAGAATATACTTGCCATTGATGTATGTCACCCAACCCATGCTGAGTGGATGTGTATATTTTTGGAGCCCTGAAAGTAAGTATTTTTTTCAAACTCTGCTGTATTTGTTGTTGGTGTCTGGGGAAAAAATGTGGAGACAAGTTGTATATAACCATTATTTAATATGTTCATACTTAAGGGAACAGATGTAGGATTAATGACAAACTTTGGGCAGAAAGAACAAAAAAAGTAACTGTAGTTAAATCATGCAACATATGGATTTGAAACATTTGGATATCACAAAGTTTTCATGTTTCCAAATGTGGCTGCCAAGAGCACTTTACCTTATGTCCGTTCTACAACTATTTTGTACATCTTATTTTTGTATCTTTAAATTTCAAAGGGAGAACACTTTACAGTTTTCTTTTTATTTGGAGAACATGAATACAATAAATTTATAGTTACAACAAATGTTGAGAAATAAAATTCCATAAGCAATTTTGTGAATTCATTCAGTAATATTATAGTTCATGCTTCCCATCCTTTTCATGTCTTCAAGTAGCCAAACCTCTCACCTTTCGTTCACCTCATCCTTCAAGGGTATTTGGGTTAATATCAAAAGGAATTAATTAAGAGGAGTGGGCTCCAATGAGAGATGTACTCCCATAAATGTAATTTAGGGTAGGTAAACGAATCTGTTTTCACAGACTAGGGAGCGGGATAGCGTGAGAATCTGAAGGGTGTTCCAGCCAAGACTACCAGCAACAGTGGTATCGAGATAAATTTAGTTGCCAGTAGGAGACACTATGACAAAATACTTTAAGAAAGCACAACACACCACTGTCCCTTTACATACTGTTGGCAGACTCATAGTCCCGGATCTTGCAAATAAATTTTTGTTTATACAAATTTAATTTGAATGCTACATCAAATCAGGCATAATAAGTAAAAAAAAAAGTAAAGTAAGTAAAGCTATTCCTGTAACAGGCCATGATGGCCCATAGGGTTGTGAGACGAGGGTCCCACATTATCTAGACAATCTGCTGAAAAATGGCGGAAAGGTTGTCAGACTTACACACCGGCCGTGCTTTACTCCCCAAGAAAATTATTTAATTAATTCCTGGTACTCATTTCTGTTAGAGGCTGAGTTGACCCCAGGGCCATCATGCGACCGGAAGGATTAGGTCAATTGAAAAAATCCAATGACTTCATCGGGACTTGAACTCGCTATCTTTCAGCTTGTAGCATAGTACCTCAACCACCTACGCTACCATGGCATAATATTCTCCCAACTGATTTATGACTATTAAGTTCAATTTGAAAATTTAATACAGTAAGTCAGTAGTGAAAAGCAACATATGTCTGCTCTAGTCCAAAAGGTGGCACAAGTGATCTACAGCTTCAAAAACCGGCCTCAACAAATATTGCTACTAACAGAAAAGCACTAATTTTCAGAAATACATAACTCACTTGACTGATAGGCTACATTTAAACTGGACAACTGCATTATAATTGCCCTACTATGAATTTGGTTGCCTGGCACTTAAAAAAGCCCTTTTCGACATGCGCGTCGCCTTCAAACTTCAAGTTCAAAACCTTTGGCTATACAGAGTTGTCAAGGAGGCGACAGACTAGTGCCTTGATGTCTCGAAATTTCCACTGAAACATCGCATTTACAGTGCAAGATAAAGAAATATTACATTATAAAAGTCACTATCATGGTTTAATTAATGGTTGAATATGTATTTACTTATAAAGATATAAAATCTATCAACTGGTAAAAATTAAATAACTATATGTTATAACTATATCACCAATTCTGTTCAACTTGTACAGCGAATGCCTTACCAAGGAAGCTCTGGATGGGCTCGGAGACTTCAAAGTAGGAGGGCAAATTATTCAAACTGTGAAATATGCAGATGACCTTGTGTTAATGGCTAAGGAAGAAACTGTGCTACAGGGCATGATTGATAGACTAATTGAAATTGGAAGGTGCTATGGCATGGAAATGAATGTGGAGAAAACAAAAGTAAC